CTTTCTTCCTCCTTCCCTCGGTGCTCCTACGCCGGGAATGATAAAAATATAATATCCTGAGAAAATTAATCTTGCCTTTAGGTCTGCAAAGTTAACGTATGTGCATATCAATTATATCTCGATATTTAAATAAAAAAGAATCGCGCGCGCGGGACCGTTTATTAAACGAGCAACGTCGATGATTTATAACGCGGAGTAGTTGACGCCGTTGGAGAAAGCTTTGTAATATTGAGTAATAAAGTCATAAAATGCACGAGCGACGTAAGCCCTTATTGTTATTATCCTTCGAAAGAGCCTACCCACCCTGTGCACGAGGCTTCTTTCGAAGTGCCTCGATCCGACCATGGATATATATGTAGTTATGAAGCAACATTGCAGGGAAAACTTTTTTTCCACCTTCCAGGCATCCCGTGATTCCCGCTACGTATTTTCAAGCCGCGTTTACTATCATGACAAGCGTTTATATTAATTAATTAACTTCTGGCTTTGCATTTATCTCCGTTGCGCCGCTTTGCCGCTTTGGCAGCTTTCGCGAGAGCTGGCGGAGGGGCCCGCGGAATCTGAATCGTCTGCAATTCGCTCAAACTCGAAAGGTAAGATGAAACGATCCTCGATAATCACGGGAGGATCCTTTGAATCATCGTTCCGGCCCCTCGGAAAGATTTCTATGAACGAGCCTCTGATAAATGGACTTCTGTCCCTCCTCACCGGTGATGAACCGTGCCCGGCGTGATATACGTATCGTCGCGAGACGGACGGAGCAGACCAAACGTATATTCGTCTTTATCTCGCGCATTGGCCGCATTTGCGCGCGTTTCGCCCGTTTTTATAATTCCGCTTCCATCCTGTCGGATTAATCACCGACGATAGCTGACGTCTTAACAAGCGGCGCGCGCGCATGATCGCTTTCACTCGAAAGTTTTCAACGCGACTCGGAGCCGGCCGTTGCCGCGCCGCCACCCGACCACTTTTATTTCGTAATTTGCGTTCGCGTTGTCCCGCAAGGAGCTTTTGCATCGCGAGCCGTGTAATCTCACGATTAAGGCGCACGATATACTTGCGTCATCTTTCGGTAATGGAGTAACATGGAAACTTTATGACCGCACCACAGCGTACACAGGGTGTCCGCGAAGTCGATCTATTTCTTTCTTTCTTTGAGATCTTCCGGGTTCGTGGCCTGGCGAAAATTTCATTCATGACCACTTTTGTTTAATATAAAAGAGATACAAAACTTATACATATATTTTATTTTTTGTTTTCAATTTTATATCTAATTGTCAAAAAATCAATCTATCGCTATCTTTTGAGTCGTTTGTAGAAAATTCATTCAATATTGTATGTAATTTGTTTTGTATAAAAATATTACTTTTATATGCATTTAAAGGAATGTACATGATAGATATCAATGGTGTAAGAGAATTATTTTAGAGATCTTTGGAGGAGACGAAGGAGATAAAGATTTAAAAGTATTTCTTTATGCACGAGCAGGAAAAGAAATCAGGGTAAAAGGATTCCGCCAACCGAATGAGAAACGATGGAATCCTGAGGGATATAAGTGTGAGATGTCAGGTACTATGAGGAGAAGTTTGATGGGAAACCGCAGACGCCATTAAACATAACCCTCTTGTCGGGAGAATCCGGACTGCGTTAAAACTTTAAATAACCCACTGACCATGCTGTACACACATACATATAACTTCTGTTTCAAGAGGGAATGCAAGAAATATACAAAGAACCGTGCGAGGTTTATGAGGTCGCATCTGCCATGGCGGATTAACATAAAATTACTACCAAGTTGAAAATTTATTTAAACTCGACTTTCTCGATTTTTCATTCAAATTTAGTAAACTCGCAGAAAGCAACTGTGAATAAACTTTGTGTTACATTCAAAGTGTTTTATATCGCATTTACATTTACATTTCCGTAATCTTCTTCTATGACAAAATTAAGTAACTAAAATGTAGCATAGTAATGAAATTCTAGATATATAAATATTTAATCATTTAATGTTACATTATGTCTAATGGAGACTCACAGGATGCAAGGCGTGATGCAATTTTCGCTTTCGTCGCATCGCGTCGCTCGTCGTCGCGCATCTTTCGCACGCGATATTTCACAGTGGATTATGATAGTTGCGATGATAACGACACGCTACTTTTTCCAAGTGACGAATCGATCATCGCCAGCCCGATGGGGCTATCCGGCGAAACCAGTAAGGAAGAGGAGGACGAAGCGGCAGAAGAAGAAGAAGAAGAAGAAGAAGAAGAAGAAGAAGAAGAAGAAGAAGTAGAAGAAGAACAAGAAGGGAGACTACAAGAAAGATAATAAGAGGGAACGAGAGATGATGAACCGAGGAAGAAACGAAGGGAGGGCTCATGGGTGCGTATATACGAACGCACGATGGACGAATGGATAGACGAAACCCATAGGTGGACTGACCGACGGACGGACGGACGGACGGACGGACGGACAGCAAACGCATCAATGACAAGACGTAAATCATAGTTTTATGACCCGTCTTTATGTGGCCCTTATTCGTGGCACTCATCGGTAGAAGAGAGCCTTTCAGATTTTTCTGTCTGGCCACCCTGTACTTGTACGTCCAGGACCGCATCGATTCGTATCGGTTTGCGCAGAGACTTGCACTTCGAAACGATCTTTCGCAAAGATCGAGAGAACGAAATGAATTTTATTCATTCGGTCGAAACAATAAACAATACTGCGATTAGGATGTCTTTTTTTTCGAGAAATTATTCAGACATAGAGACAATTATTCAGACATTTAGACATAAATTTTTCACACAAAATACTTCACGCATTAAATTAATTTGACTTAATCTTATTGATGAATTGATTAAAATTGATTAAATTTTTTAATTCTTCCATTTTAAATATGTCCTTATTTCGAGACAATAAACAATGTCGTGATTAAGAATTAGGATGTTTCATATATTCAAGAATTATTCAATTATTCAACATAAATTTTAAGCAAAATATTTCATGCATTAAATTAAGGATTTAACTTAATCTCATTAACGTGATGAAAATTAATTTTTTTCAATTTTTAAATGTATTTTTTCTTTCGAGCGAGAAGAAATTACAAATTACTTGTGTTAATGTTAAATAAATGTTTTAGGCAGAATTATATTCTTTTTTACTTTTCATTTAGCAAGCTTTTGAAGATGACAAACGTTACTCACGTGTTTCACGTAACAAGTGCATGATTAAAATATCCAGAAACGACTTCGACAAGATTCGAAAGTGCGGACGATGCAACCATGCGAAGATAGCAGAAAGTCTTCTGTTCGCTCTTCGATTCCGTTCTTCGATCCGCCCCTGAACGCACGTAAGTGCGTATATAACAGGTACCCGCTGCGTGGGCGTCGGTTTACGGGTTTACTTTTAAGTGACCGTACCTTAATTCGCGCTGCGGTTAACAGTGTGTCGTGCTTAACGGTGATCCCGCGAGGGAGGGTGAGGAAAAGAAAGAGAGAAAGAGAGAAAGAAGTAGAGTGGTGGAGCAATTAAAAAAATTACCCGGTAACTGCAACCGGTGAAAATACAACCTGGCGACAAAAAAGGGGGAAGGTGGGTACACACGAAGGCAGCGAAGGACAGCGCGGGGTTAAGGTACGACCCTGACATTCTGGATCTCGCGGACGTGGGTGTACGCAGCACTGCGCAACTTTGTTGCCGCACTTTTTCGAGAGCATCTTCTCTCTCCAACTCCGCTCCGGGGCCGGGGGGGCCGCTCCGCGGGACCCCCGCGCGCACCGGCCGCATTATGCGCTCGCGCGCGCATAAAGGGAACGGCAAACGCGAAGGCCTTGGCAGAGAGGTGGCGTACGACGAGGGTTATTATTTTTCAATGACACACGCTACGACGCCGCGGAAAGTGAAACGCACCAAATAGTATAATCTGACAACGACGACGACGACGACGACGACGACGACGACGACGACGACGACGACGACGACGACGACGACGCGCCTTTACGCTTTCCTCTTATCACGCGATTCGCGGAAAAGCATGTTGATAATCTCGCCTGATTAATCCGAATTTTAATCTCACCCCGCGGTGGCGAATCTTCGCGTCATGCGGACATACGCATGATATACGCTGGCGAAATTAATATCTCTCGGATCTGCGTGCGAATAAATTCCGTCGTCATCTACTCATCTACTCTCGTAATGTGTCAACCACACGTTTCAAAGAGTATTCTTCAAAGATAAAACTGAAATGATATTAAGATTGGTTACGTTAAATAAAATAACATAAAATGACATGGCAATGGAGGCACACGCGTTGGTGCCTCTACAAATATCAAGATAGTTAATTTGCAAAAGGATAAACGGGTATTCTTTACAAATTATATACTCTGAGACAAATTTCTACAAAATTGATTTAATAGCTAATTTCTCTAATGATTTGCTTTCTTTAATAACAGAAGTCGCTACCTAAGATAAATGCTTTACAATATGGCGTTACGCTTTTTACATTCGCATGTCGCTCGTATGACAAATGTACACAGTTGTTATAATTCCTTCTCATGCGAGAATATCATAAGTTCTACAAAAGTGTGGTTTCTACAAAAGTTTCTACAGAGATAACTGGCTTATCGTCCATCTCACATAATCATCTTCATTTCTTCAAATTTCTAATAACAGTATTCTACTAAACATTTATTTGTGATATTAATATTCGATGAGAATCGCTCAAGCGGTGTCCAATTTTTATTTCACAAATGTTCAATGTTTTTTTTTCTCTCTAACATACCTCGATTTCATTTATGGCACCGGCGTCGCTTGTACAATTTGGACGACATGGTCTGTAAATTAGCGGGCGAAAATCAAATAAACTCTCCTTAGAATGCCAGTTTTAACTACGTGATCGTTCAATGTTGAGCTTGATTTATCTACTGAGAAAATCGTATTTAATGAAAATAAGATGAGAAATACTTGACACACTTAACGTGTGAAACAACCGGTGAAGGAGGATGAAAGAGACAGCGAGGATATTTCGATCCCTACGTTATTATAGCTCCTTCTTTTTCTCTTAATCCAAAAATTGCTTTCCACAGGAAATCTCTAATTCTAGCCCCGCGTGACGCATTATTTATGACCATACTTATACAGTATACTAGCGGTTCGTTCGTAGGCAATCACGATAGATTTCATGGATGTGGAACGACAGATATGTACATTAAATCTACATGTGATAAGGAACGTCCCTCATCTTGCGATCAACTACGATACGGTCTCTCCGTCCAAGGATTCGATTTGCCGAGCGTCTCTTTTCCTGTCGCAATAAAAGATACTTCCTGCGCTGTAATTCGCGAAGTTAGGTGCGGCATAGGCACTTTCGCGACACCCACCGCTTCTCCGACGATTTCCTCGTTATCGGCGTGCTCGAAGAAGTTTACAAGATCATATACGTTCCAAAACATAAATAATACGACGAAATAAAATATATCTTTTTTCTCGTAGATCGAGTCTCGAGAGTCTCTCTCTCTCTTCTCTTCTTCTATTTACCTATTAATATATATATATATATATATATATATATATATATATATAATAATAATTAATAATAATAATTAATAATTTTTATATATATATCAAGTAAAGGAAATTAAAAAAAAATACGTAGGAAAAAATTTTACAAAAATTGTTTACATAATTGAAATAAGTTTGTCAAAGCTGAGTTTTAACATTTCAATGACCGATATATTATATAAAAATAAATCAGGAGGCTGTGAATGGAACGTCACTTTATGCAACAATAAGCGTGCATGAAGATAAAATCCACGCGTGAAACTTTCAGATTGAAAAAGTTTTCTCACATAGCTGGACTATTATCTCCCATGTGCTCGCGGAGAATTTCAATAATCGTAAGTGTAAGGGATATCTTCGCAAAGTCTGTGGAGGCGGCAATAAGATGATAACACAATTGATATTGAAGGACTTTGTTGGTCATGACGTACGTATAACGACGCACAACGAATCGCGTCGTATTCGAGTAATAGAATCGCGAAAGAGGGAAGAAGGTGCGGCAAAAAGGAGAATCGATGTCGCGATTAAGAGAAAGAAGGACGACTCCTACTTTTCTCTCTTTCGCTCCCTTAGCTGAAAAACGCCCGCTCTCCCGGGAATTTGTCTGTACAAATAGCCCTTTTCCGTCTCGTATACCCAATCCGGGACAGGAAGTTCCGCCGCCACGATTTGTTCGCGTCGCCACGTCAGAACATCGTGGGGATTTGACACAACAGAGATTACATAAGTAATTCTTTCGTCTGTGATTTATATCCGTTCATTAAAATGACGGATGTGATTTAAATTTAATACATTTTATTATAAGATCCGCGAAATTTTACTCATTTAAGAATCGCTAAAGCTTGTAGTTTAAAAATATATTTTAAAATAAATAAATTATTTTTTTTTAATTATTTTTGAGGCTTTACAAGTTTTAGTGATCTTTACGTGCAATATAAAATTTACATGTATACAGATGCATTTCTGTTGTAAATGTAAAAAATAAAAAGAGATAATTAAGAAACGCTGACAAATTAAAATGTGTTTTCGTTAATCGATCAACTTGTTACGCGGCTCGGAAATTATCTAGAATAGCACGCCAATATTTTATTTTAAGACTCGATCGGATGCTCTTCTGCGAAGTTGACTAATTGCTAAAAATGTCGAAGGCCGTCGCTTGTTATCAGCAACTCAGGAGGTGACGGTGCATTAGAGAAAAACACGAGGGTGTGGGTGGATTATGACAGAAATAGCGGGAAATAATTCCATCATTTATCGGGCGGTCGAAAGGTTAAGAGGGCGGCGTGTCGGGATTAAAAGGCTGCATAAATTAAATCTAAAAACAACATCGATATGAATATCATACCGATGTTATTGAGTATTTGCCCCGATTCTTTTATTAGCGGAGAAAGAAATCCTACACACATTGATCCATCCTACACGTTGTTATTGTTTCAGGAGTATATTATTAAACGCTTCGAATATTTCTTTCATAATGTCGAAAGTTCGAATACCGATTTATATCGCAAAATTATCAAATATCAAGTATCATCAAGTGTAATCAAATATCATTTATCAAGATAAGAGCAATTATTGCTTCCTCTTTGGCTTCTATGATCCGCATAGAACATAATGATGAAATCATTTAAGAAACTAGTGCGTTAGCGTTATATATCTCGTAAATTAAATTAAACAATAACTGTGTAATCAACATGTGATAAAAATTGTGATTTATGATAAGAAAGCTAAAAAGTCATCGTATTAATTTCTAATTCAACGAAATGATATATCCTAAATTTTATAAGAGATAAATTGATTTATAATACATATATAATGATAATCCTAGATAATAAGATTATTTTATAAATTTTTAAATTTCTTATTTTTTAAAGATTTCATATTTACATTAAATATCTAATATAAACACGTCTTAAATAATGTCCACGGATCTCTCCCTCTTCAATCCCTTTTGGCATCCGTAGGAAATAGCAAGCCCTTGAATAGCATTCAATTGCAGATCCGATTCGGACAACTAAATTAGAAGTCTGACAACAATTAGAGAGTATTCGGGATTTTCTCTGAAAGCACGTGTCAATACAGATACGTCTGGTGACTTACCCCTAGTTCAACGACCCTCGCAGGCACGAGCGCAAGAGAAAACGAACGGGCGATCCTCCGCGATGCCGGGGTTATCGCGCGATCTCGCTACCGGCGGCCATTGTCAAAAAACAACTTCGGAACGTACGAAACATCCACCACCATATCACCACCGCACCGTATCGTTGCACTGCACCGCGTTGCGAAACGCGCTTCGGGATGGTTGTCGTGTCTCAGCAATATGGCGACGACTCGATCCCCGAGATCATTCGTCGCGTATTCCCAATTAGGAAGAACTCGCGAGCGTCATCGGCTGGACGAGATCCTCGGCAAACAAGGTGCTCTTTGTCGGGACTCACCGCCACCCTTCGACCGCCAAACGTATCATCGGGGTAGGACAATGCTCGACGAAAGCGAAACGTACGACGACCGGCGGCGCCTCCGAGTGCGGGACCGAGCGTGGCGGGGTGCATCGCGCGACTACGGTGGGGTTCGAGGGGGCACCCCCGAGAGGGTGAAGCATCCCGCGGCGTAGATGGCGCCGTGGCGCCGGTTTTCAGGAATTACGCTCCAGGGCTTAGGCGCGAGAGGGGACGATAGCGAGCCTGGTGGTGGTGGATGTTGGTCGCCTGGCAACGACGAGAGATCGACCGAGTGCTCTTTCTGCTTCCCTCTCGCCCCGTCGCCTTAGCGGCCACCGAGAGAGGGTTGGACACCACCCTCTCGTTCGTCGTTGTTTCCGCCGCTTGTGCTGGTGTCGGCACCGATGGTGGTGGTGGTGGTGGTGATGGTGGTGGTGGTGGCCTGCGGACGTGTGCGAAAGCGACTACGTATCGAGAGTCGTGAACGATTAGTCGCGATCGAGGATGGGACGTCAAGGGTGGAAGGTCAAGAGGAAGGTGGGCGCCTTGAAGGACGTGCCGATGGTATATAAATACATCTCCCGTTAGGAGTGGATCTTTAGAGACGGTCAGAAGTAACGAAATCGTGTACGATAATAAGGGCACAAATAAAAAAGAACAATATGAATTATAAATGTCTTATTAAAGATGGTCAGTATACACTGTTACATTTTAATTATGAATGTAACAATTAATTATGATTATTAAATTGTATTAAGCAAAAAGCTCATTATCCGTTATTTTTCCAACTTGCGTGCAGCTATGTTATCACTCTACAGATATTCATTAGCCGACCGCGTCATAAAGAGAGATGCACCACAAATCGATACCGTTACATTTATTATTTATTTATTTATTTTTTTAACATTTCATACAGAATACGATGGAATAAAGATATCACGAGCATAGAATAGCGATAAATATCGATGACAGGATCCTCGATATTCTGTCCACAGGTATTCTATTCGAGTATTTTGTGAAATGTATGAAGGGGGTTTCGATCGTTCACGTCCATTCTCGCCGGCAAACATACCGAAAATGGCGTGTGGTATTTCAACATTGTTGTTTTAAGACAGCTCGATCGATACCTTCATCGTGCGCGATATCGGCGCACACTCGCATTGTTGCGTATCCCTTCGCTTTATAAATAAACGATCGCGCTGCTCTCCGAGGTCCCGTGGAAAACTTTCGCCACGCTTTGCTTCGCGGGGCCGTTTTATAACGTAACGAGTCTCATTAGGAACGATAATAGCGCCTTTTCTGGTCCGCAACTCCATTTTCTGCGAGGCTGCAACGTCGCCTTAAAAGTCCTCGCACATCCTACGGAAGCGGCGAGTAATGAATGGCTCGTGAACGTAAAAATGCGGCGATCCCGTCAATCGTCGTCCGGTGATTTATCGCGGCTCAATCGCGCCGTCAAAGAGCCGCGATAACGCTTTCGTCCGATAAAGGCAAGAAGGGGAAGATCGTCCTACTATCCGTTCTCCCCGCGATTATGGATATTAGCACAAGGACATGATTCATGCATGTTTGTCCATTATTGCGCAAACCGCGCGATTATTGTTATTTGATAATCGTATTTGTATACAACGAAATGCTTTCACTTACGAGATATGACCAAACATTGCAAACGACAAATATATCGGTTACAAACGTCGCGTTCTTCGATTATCAGAAGATTATCTTCTTCTTTGAAACTGAAAGTTAATTCAATAAAAATCGCGCGACTAAAAAAAAAAAAAAAAGAAATAATAAATATAACAAATTCATTTGCCAACGTCTTTTAACAAGCGTTTGACATAATTGCACACGGAAGACCAGTTTGTTAAAACATAACAATTTTGTCAGATACTCAAATTGGGTATTAAAATATCAAAAATTTTTGTAGTATTATTATCATACTTGAGTATATTATATAATTTCTTGATAGGCCGACAAAATTATTTTCAGATCTGGCAAAATTTTAGATACTTCAGCAAAATCGTTCTTTCCGCGTGCAAGTTAATTTACAACTCACACAATTATCGCTCTTGTATCCCACCAGGAGATTTTAAATGATTATTAATTGTGTAATGACTAAGCTTTTACAAAATTAATAAACCGGATCTTCCATCCGGAAAAACGGGAAGTTTCATGTCACGTAACGTCACTTCCTCGGCATCATCGCGCGGATGCAGGCATTGACGGCTTTTTCGTCGCATGTCGCAGGGGGAGGGAGCGAAAAACTAACGAGCGCAAGGTTCACTCAGATTAGATCGACTCCAATTTAGCTCACTCGTCGTTTGACCTCCATTCCAGATCGGCCGCCCTCTCTCCGGCTTTTAATTTGCGGAGGATGTGACGTTCCCTCGATGAATCTCATCGGTCGCCCCTCTTGACGACCGATGCCGTTAAACCGGAACAATTTAGCATCGAGGGCGACGGAACGATCACCCCCATTTTTATCGGCACTTCACATTATAGATTTAATTGTAACTCAATCAGGAGATAGGAAGTTCTAGAGTACAGAATTTTTTTTTTTTTTTTGTCTACGATTCATCGTCGGAATCCCGATTGCATAACTCGGAGAAATTGCCATTTGATATTCGAGATGTTAATCTGCGAATTCATTTACGGAAATGTGAAGTAGAAGCAATTTTATTTGACGAGCTTTCTTGCGGCAATTTCCTGAATAAAGCAAACGTTATGCAACGTGCAACTGGATATTGCTTGGGAGATACTTAACGTCATCGAAATAATATAAAACGTGATATGAAATACACGTGTAGTTTATAAAACAGCTTATAAAAAAAAATATAATACCGTTTCTGACTATATCAGAGTATTATTTCAAGCGTCGCAAGGTGAATTAACGTGAGAGAGTAAAAGTGCGCGTGTTCTCAACTTCGGGATCTTTGGAAACTGATATAGGGAGAGAGTTCGAAAGGTTCCAAAGTTGATCCGTTTCCGCTTTCCGAGCATCGCCGGTCCATTAATTTAAAGGGATAGAACGAGGGACCAGGGCTCAGCAGGCCAGGGGTTTAGGTGAAAGACGAGTTCCTGACGTATATTTGACGTTTGATCGATTGATCACGATGCACCTATCGCAACCTTCTACGCCCACCAAGAATCTTTGCTTGTCAACAAATATAGAACTCTCTTGATCATATTGTTAAGACCTTTCTATCGAAATACATTTCAAGGCGACAAATAAAGATATGTAAATGATACGTATATTATTTGATAACCAAATATTCCATCAAAATATAATTTAATACAGAATGTTCCATAAACCAATCATTTAGGAGATGAATAGGAACTCAAAAACAAGAAAGGAAGTTGATATGAACATAGATCTGAAAATGCATTGTTTTCGAGTTATTGCCATTTTTATGTTGAAATTTGAAATTGCTTTGCTTTCGAATTTTTTGTCAAAATTAAAAGAAGAGATGGTTTTATGAGTTTTATAACATAATTAAAATCAAATAAAAGCTGCGGGCTGCTTTAGTACTGCTCAGGATATAACTGCGGAGTCCCGCTTTCTACCAAAAGATGCTAAGCCAGCTGTATCTCCACGTGGTGCATCCTGTATAATGCTAAAGCAGCCCGCAACTTTTATTTAATTATGTTATGAAACTCAAAAGATCCTCTCGCATTCTCAGATCTATGTGCATACTAACTTTTTTTTTTGTTTTTGGATCTTCAATTACCTCCCGAGCGACTTACTTTTGAAACACTCTGTATGTTGTTTATTAACACGTAACGGTAATTTTTAGATGTACTTTTCGAAAATGACGACGCGTTTCGGTGTGATTATTCGTCTATTACTTCCAAGCGATCCATCGATGACTGCATTCACCGTTACGTGGGGCTTTTCACCTCGCATTTGCATCTGTTTAAACGAATAAATAATCCCACGGTGCCGCGCGCGGCGATATTCCTCCGCCGTGTCGGTCCCGGATCGGTCGGAGTCTACATTCCCCGCTTCCTCGGCACGAGGAAGAAAGAGCCAGGAAGTCAACCGTGAGACAGGAAGGTCGTACCATCTAAGTTTAGAGTGCGTTTAGTCACCTACCGCGGCTACCTACACTTTTCCACCTACAACTCCGCCCCTTTATCTGCCACGGCGAGGTCCGCGAGGAGTCGTTAACGACCTCCGTATGCGGAGGTGGTATCCGTACGCACCTATGTAACATGCAGTGGGACCCTTTCGACGATAATCCTGGAAACTCGGATCTCGCGATCTACTATCCTGCGGATTGGTATGCGGGAAAGACCGGAGTATTGTTTGATTTTACGCGCGACTTAATTCCGCCGCTCTCCTACGTCGTTTTGGAAAGCAACCAAATTATCCTCCATCTTCCAGTAAAATTTTTAAATTTTCATTAAAAATTTTTGAATTTTTTAATAAAAATTTTTAGGAATGTTATATACACAATCTTTATTTGCCTTCGGAGGAAATCGCACCGCGTTTTAATTTCGCACCGCAGCATCGTGACTCGACAAAGCCTCCTTTCGTCTCTCCGCCGCTTTTGAAGCGCGGCGGAGAGACGACTTCCGCGAAAAACGCTCCGTGAAATTCCGTTGTCTAAGAGGAGTATTACGATACGTACGCGGCCTGTCTGCCGGCTGTTTCACAGTGTTAATATATATCTCCACCGGTTATTCCAATATCCGTTGTCTACTCTAGACGATGATGCAAGCGTTTGCACTTCCCGCGCGCGCGCGCGCTGGCATATACGTTCTCGTCTATCTGCCGCCGTCGCCGCCGCCGCCGCCGTCTATCTATCGTGTCCCGAAGGAAAACCTGAATCACGAAATCCTCCGGGTGCTCTCTCAAGAAAGGCGGAGCAGCTGCGGCGGCAGTTCTCCGTATAGAGCTGGATATACGTACGCGCGTACGTATCGTTTACACGTCCCCGTATCTGTTCGGCATGCGTGGGCGTTAAGCGGGTGCAGGAAGGAAAGGTGCGGGGGCAGACGAGAGGAGGGGGCCAGGATAAAGGAGTAAAACCGCAATGTGTGGATGTGGATAAGCGAGGACTGTAAATATCGCGTCGCTCTGCTGCCTACCTCGCGCGCAACGGGGAGGCACGTCCGGTGTATAT